GGCTGGAAAACCAAAACAATGGGCTAAATGAGACTAAAAGCTCTGTATAGCTGCGGGACAATGCAAGGTTGGGTGATAATTCTCTGTGGGTTTGTCAATACTTGTGATGTCTTTTACATCAAACATTTGTAAATATCATTTAACAAATATTGATTAGTGCAGCTTTGATATTCTTTCATTTTTAATAACATATTTTAAAACTCATTATGTAAAATGAGCTATGGCTTTGGGAATGGGATGGTACAGCTACTACAAAGTACTATATATATTTATACATATATATATCTATTCATATATATTACTTTGTAGTGTGGCATGAAAATGCAAAACAGTAGGACTTGAAAAAACTAGTTCACCAGTATATTGTGATTTTTTTTAGAAGGTGCATATTCAGCTTGATGTATTATATAAAACATTATATAAAACATTTCCTGATGTTTCTATGCAAATCTCATTTTATGCTGTTTTATAACTCAAAATTTAGGTTATGTTTATATTTATTTTTTTGTCTTTAGCACAACTCCCACCTGTTTCCCTCCCCCCCCCACTTCCATCCCTACAGCTGGTCTCTCTCCGTGAATTTCTTTCTAGCAGAGCAGGAGACGGTTTCATCATTAGCTGGTACCCAACCAGTCAGCTGGGCCAGCTTGCGGTGCAGAACAGACTGTGGCTCAGGCCAGCCAGATGGAGGTGAGATTATCCTCTGTTAGATAATATAATGGTAAGGTGGCCCTTATTCCTAAGAGACACACAGACCAGTCAACTAGTCAGCTTTTCCAAAAACAGCTTTTGGAGATGATGAGTATGATTTTTATGACTGGTTTCATTGTTAATACCAGCAGAATTATGAAGTAGTGAAGGGAGGAACAGTGGTCACAGGAGGAGTATGGTAATGAGATATCATATCTATTCCAGTGATGACTAATATTAATAATGTTCTTTCCAGGCCATAAAAGTTGTTTATATGATTCAGCAGTACTGATTTCCCCATTCATCTCACTTAAATGTTCTACCAAAGATCATTTCTGTTTAGTAAGAGTCTTATATTGTGCAATGAGTGTTTACAGGGACAACATTAGGGACTGAGGGGATTTCTCAGGGCCCACCCATGGTAAAAATACAATATGTGTATTCAGGATACTTGACTTAAATAAATGTGTCTACTTAATGGCATGTTCCAATATGTTACGTAACATGAGCAGTTAGCCTCAGACTAAGCAACCTAAAAAAAAAGGGCCAACCAAACAAATGTGTAAACAAACAACCCATAAAACAGTCTGGGTAGGAAGCTGGGTGGGTCAGGCTAAAGTTGCTCGTAGATGCTGATCTGGTCCAGAGTGAGCCATAAATTTCCTGATAATGACTGTAAGGAAGTTTTAGAAAAAGAAGTGGGGATGTAGTCATTGCTCCAGGGGAAATGTCAGGCTGTAGCCAATGAACACAGCAAAGACGATACTCAGCCAGCCAAGAGGGCAGTATATATGTAACTCAACACTGTCATCTGGAGGCACTTGGGTGTAAATGTTTCAGGAGGTAACAAAAAACAGGAAGACACAACTCTTTTTTAGCACATGTATTGGTGCCGAATTTGTCATTTCAACAGCCATCTGGCTCCCGTCACGATTTCTAAACTTTTAATAGAGTAAATAATCTGCATGGGAAAAGGAATGACCAATCTAAATTGTCAGCTAGTTTGAGGTTCTGGATTAAAGCTTCTTTTGTTCCATCCCCTTTTGCTATTTTGAATGTGTGTAGAATCACTGACTCATCACCTGTTATAAATGGTCGGCTAAAACGATATGCACTCAATTAAATCCAGTTAAGTGGGACACAAATAACCAAAGTTTAGTGGTAATATTGTCAAAACACTGAGAGGTCCTGCAGCTGCTAAAGCCTGGCTCACAGCAGTACATTCAGCAAATTCTGAAACCAAATTGCCCTGATGAAATGATAAAATACTAAGATAGAGCATAGACATTCACAATAAGACTTCCAATCCATATTTATTGCCTTTAATTCACACATTTTGGTTCACAGACGTGGGACTAGACTTTGGTTGTTTGCATGATAAATAATGATCAGCACACTGTACGCAGCTCTTAATGTCTCTGAGTAACAAGCTCTATATTTACATGGATCATGAAACTTTTGTCTGGTCAACAGGTTTACTGCTTGCACACCGTTTTATTTGAGAAGCAAACAAATATCCATAATAGAATGAGAACTAAATTAAAATTAAAATGTTTCTATTTTTTGTCACATGAAAAGCTGATCCTGAATGTTAATGTCACATCCTGTTGGTATACTAGTAGTAACTTTTATCCTGAATTTGGGCTTTTGCAATTCTAAACCTCACCAGCTGATATAAAAAACAGTAGCGAGGGACACAGGGAATGAGTCAACAATCTATCTTCCCTAAACACAGGAATGGATTAAGTAAATGTATCTCAAATGTCTGTTGCAAGAGTTTTCTCACTTCAGCAACTACACAAACGAATTGCAAACCCCAATGTTAGGACTATCAGGTGGTGAGGAGGTTTGAATAAGGACAAGTTGAAAGGAAAAAGGTGGAATTTTGAAATGAATTCCTTCTATGGGCCCAAGAGGGAAAATATAAGAATGTGAGATGCCCCTGAGTGAATCCAGATGCGAGATACCGAAACCCGACAGCAAACTGGCTGAAACCGGATACTGTACATACACGAGTGGTGCGTGAATGTCAACATCCTGCTCAACTTCTATCCTACCCACAATGCCTTCAACTGTTTCAGAGATCCCCAGAGCTGACGAGACGCAGAACTGCAGAATAATTTGAAGCACTCCACTCACTGCAGTGTGTGTGTGCGCATGGAATTAGCTGCAAAAGCAATTCATGACATATACAAGCAATGTTTTATTTAGAGAGAAACCAAATCGACCCCAATGAAAATAAACACTTCCATACATAAATCAAGAATGTAATAGACACTAAAATACAGGTTGATTTTTTACCTTCGTTTTAAATGGGCGTACAAAACAGACTATACATACAGAAGATGCATAAATAAACAATTGGCCATGTGAGACAGCAGCCTGTGAGAGCAGACTGCTCCTGTTGGGTTTGCTTGAAATGCAAAGTATCTCCTTGATGTTGAGTTTGTTGGAATAGAAAAAGCACTCTATTTTAATTTTTGCATTATTCATTCCTCCTAAGTGGGTTATCGACCATTTAAGGAGCCCCCCCGTGTATGTGTTTTGTGTATGTTAGTGCAAAGAAAACCCAGAAGGGAGAAGAAAAAAATAGAGGCTTGTGTTCTAACCATAAAACTCAATATTTCTTCTTGTCAGCCCTCTGTTTAGACTATGCGGGTTCTTGCATTTTAGAGCTTTACTTAGAATAAGGAAGTCAATCACTGTGGCAGTATTGTACACTGACCAGTCTCCACACACCATAAACAGTTGGGAGTTATGTTTTTTATTCTGGCAAACAGGACCTGTGGGCTCACTGATCCAGATAAATAAGTCAAACTTCCAACATTAATTGCTGGTCTGGTCTGTGATTTCCAATAACATATGGAAGTTTGTTTTGTTTAAAAAACGTTCCTGGTGTGAAGAATCATGCTATTTGTTGTGAGTTATAGTATACAGTGCCTTGTGAATTTGTAGAATCTGTATTGTGTGCCAGGATATAAAGAAGGTGATATTTTTACGGATAAACGTGCTGCGTGTCAATAGCTCCTAGATAGACAGAAAAACATTTAGCCAAAAAAAAAAAAAAAAAAGACAGTAGCCGTGAATTGCTTGGCTGAAAGTTAAGAAATCACTCACTCTCAATAACCAACCCACACATGTGAGAGGTAAAAAGTGTTTAAGAGTACTTGAAGCTGATGATTTAAAGAGCTGGAAGTGTATATGGGTGACACTGGAGAGGTGATGTGTGACCTGTATGCCCTCAGCTGACCAAGCTTCAGCACTGGAGGTGTAAACATGTGCACAGAGAAAGGTCTGCACTCACTTTTCATACAATTACAGATGTTGTCTTAAACCTTCAAGGTCTCCCATACGCAATAAACTGACAATGGTGTGGATCAAAGACTGGAGACTACTTCCTTTGATCCTGTCATAGTCCCCAGGTTGTTGAAAACTGTCATTATGCGTCATACACCCACTTCTTCAAGTGCACACCAGCCTTTCTTCTGCCACACAGGTGCTAACTATAGGTCCAAGGGAAAAATGCAATCCCCGATTCAGTCTTTAATAGAGGTTATGCCACTTCTTACAATTATCTGCTTGGCCATACAATGTACCTTTTCATATCACAAGGTTGATTACCTTCAAAGACAACTTTAATGTGCATGAGAAGAGATGAACAACAGATGACACATCAAAGCATACAAAGTGAGCCAACTCTAAAATAAAGATGTAAGAAATGTAAAGGATGCAAACTATAGCAACAACCTATAGAGACATGCCTGTACATATAAATATACAGTATCTCAATATCTAATCAAATGTCATCTAAATGTTTGTTTAAAAAAAAACAAAAAAAAAACAATGCTTTTGTGCAAACTGTACGGTTGTCTTCTTGAAAGGCATTAAAACGCAAATGAATTTCAAGAGGATATAATAAAACATTACATGAGAAGATATACATCAAAGATCAGATCACTGCTGTGATGAGCAAATGATGGGAATCATGGCCCCTCTCCCATTTTCCTCTGCTCTTTCTGGGTGGAGAAGTAGAATGAGCTACTGTAGTCTTGTGCAGAAGGAAATGGGTGTTGCCCGTAGTCTTGCAGCTGTTGAATATTTAGGTGTTCGCTACAAATGGCTCACAACAGCTTTTGCAATTGCAAATCATGATACACGGGTGTTTCCACTGGCCACTGGCTCCAAATTGGGCTGCAGGGTTAGCTGGGGGTTGGTTATTGGTCCTTTTCCTGTCTGTGTCCAAATTAAACTGTCTTTTCGGTTCATTGTGTGAACTAGTTGCTGACTTCCTTCCCCTTCATGTCCTTAAAATCATAGGACTGTACTAAGCCATTTGAGGCTCAACATGGTCCACAGGACTTTTTTCATCAGGTTTATTTGACAGTCCTCTCCTTTAAGATGTATGAGGGGAGCAAGGTGGAGAGATGACATGAGTGAGACAATACACTCCAGCCTGCAGATGCTCAAGTCGGAATGTATCGAGAAGTGGAGGCGTATTGAGAAGAAGAAGAAAAAAAAAAACCAAAAAAAAAAAAACCTTGGTGCTGTTTTGGACAGGAGCTCCCATTTTTCTGTAATAACAGTGCAATTAGACAATAATTACACTAATTACACTGAAGCTAATTAGACTGAAATTACAGAAACTGGGGGGCAGTTATTTTAAACTGTAACTCAATGATTTCTTTTTTAGAAGACAGAGATGAGTGCAAAGACCCCATATAAGAGAGCGCAAGGGTAGGCAACCAACAGCTGCTGCCCATCCATGGCCAACGCTGAGATGAAGATCTTTGAGGCTGACAAACTACACCAGCCAATGATTGCAGCCGTTAGTATAATTCCAATCATGCCCCTAAAGAGGACGAGAAGGAAGAATTAAATTAGCTTTGATTATTTTACCAGCTGTCTGTATAAAAGCAGCATTTATACAGATTTATTAAATGTCCAGCTATTTGCGAAACTCCTATCCAACATCAAACAAAAGTTATATAGTCCTACACATAAATATCACACTTTAGCTGAGCTCATATCTTAAAGTTGTACTATAAAAGCAGTGGCGCTATCTATGGGGGCGGCATTGGGTTTTATGTCTCCGTAAAGTTAAAGATGGGCAGCAAGGCCACCCCAATCCTGATGTAAAGCAGAAAAAAGAAAACAGTCTGGTAAAGTGGTCATAGCCTAATGAATTCTACTAGCGTTTGAAAAACTCAACACCTGACCAGGCAACTTTTTAATAAAGTGTTTGCTTGCTTTATAGGTTTTATTCAAGTTTGTTAAGTTCACTATTTCCTGTATACTCACTGTAAAGAGAGGAGGACTGCAAAGCTGGAGAGGAGGATCATCGGGAGGAGGCAGTATCCCAGCACGCTGGCCACACAGCCGAAGGAAACGCCCGTCATACTCATTAGGTTGAGTAGGCAGTACATGCCGAGGCAGCCAATGGCGCTGATACCGTACACATAGCCAAACTGGATCTTACCTGACTGTGAATGGAAAGGACAACAATCCACACAGTCAGACAAACAACAGATTTTAAAAACACCAACATTATTACAGCTGTACAGATATATGTGTTTGCACCATAAGGTCCAAGAAGGACGTCATTGCCTGTTTTTATTATTATTATTATTCACCAACATTAACCAAATGATTTACCAGGAGTAGTGTCGCTCCGAAGGCCAAACAGAAGACCATGGGGCCAGCCAGGTCTGTCTCGTTCATGATGCTGCCATCTGCTACCTTCATTGGATGGAGCACCGTCAGAGTCTTCTGCCAGATGTGGTCAAAGTTGATTCCTAATTCTAAGACAGAGAAAACACACATCAGACACGTTGGATACTACAACTATGATCACTCACAGCTGGAGGGACAACATGACACAAAATAAGTAAACGAGTTGTATTGATTTGTAGGCAGAGATGCAATAGGATACAGTATGTGCTACTGGGAAACATCTCCCTTCCAGGAATACTCAGACTTTTCAGTCAGCGCTTTGCATAATAAACTCTGATAAAAGTGTGACTTCTTCTGAGAATAGCCTTGAGCTGTGTCTTTCCCTTTTTTTTAGGTCAAACTCATTTTAGTCTAAAGAGTGTGAATTAGGTTTGAGCATTTTCATTTTTATGGTCTCACATTCGACATTTGATGTGGTGATGTCTTGTAGTTGTATTACCGGGTGCCACTAATTCTTTCATTCCAACTTTTATTATGAATCTGTTGATAATGGTTATGACTAATCAATTGTTTGTCTACAAAATGTCAGAAAATAATCAATGATCATAATTCCCCACAGCCCAAAATGCCTTTTTTTGGAATTGCTTGTTTTGTCGGACCAACAGTGTCAGATAAACGCCCAAAGATATTCTATTCATGATGATGTACTACAATCATATGACAAGCTGGGAACAGCTACAGTAATTATTATTTTTCTGTTACAAATAGTTTTAATTAATTAATAAACTAATTATTTCAGCACTCACTGCATGCCACTAAATAACCAGCAGCATTTCCCTTCACAAATGGCTACTGACATGTAACACCTTCGGTCGCAGTTACTGGTATTCACTCTTAGTATCACTCTCTCTCTTTAAAAATATCACTTGTAAGCCCGTTCCTCTAAATGAGCATGTAGCTAAATCTTAAAATACAGTATAGAGAACAAAATAATACCAAATTTAAGGACATAGTCTCTTCACTCACAGGTGAAGCTCCACCTGCTACAACGCACAATTAGACACAATTAGAGCATCTACTCCATCTGCTCCATTTTTTGAGGTATCAGGAATAAAACCACTGGTTTATTCTTAAAAGGCAATGTATTGAATCTAAAAATATTCTGCTAAGCATGACTATAAACTGAGTGGACCATTTGGCTCCAACCATAAAACCATTGACTGTAACTTCAAATTAGTATTGTTTCCTCAGTGCTGGTTTGTGTGCAACTCCCTGGGATGCCTGCCAATGAAAAGGTTTCTCATGCATGTGTGCAGAAGGAAAAAGCTAAAGTTCAGAAAAGTCAGGTCTGACAATTTTGGTCAGGTAGCAAGCCTTTGATCCGTTACTCCTTTCTAATCCAATAAAATATCCATGAAGCCATGAGCTCTGACTGCTGGCGACTGCAACAGGCAAATGAAACTTCAATTTCACGCCTTAAGAACAGATCTTAGGTTCATGTCAGTGACACTGCGGACGGACTTCAACAGGAACACCATAACTTTCTGTTTTGGGAATTTAACTGGTGCTCTTGTAAAAGTAAGAAAGTTCAACTTATAATTATTTTTATGAACTGATTAATTATTTCTCAACTTTACTCCAAATTAACTGAGTAAACAAAGGAATTCAATTCGCAGTAATATGAAACAGAGTACATAAAGCAAACCCTAACTTTTGAGAAGCTGTGACCAGCTCGGACCTAAATGTTTTATGAAATATTAAAAAAATACATGAATATCAATCAACTGATAACTAACAAAACTATTTAGCACAGTTCACGATACACATAATCTGCCATGTGTATTGTTGACTGTGGTATACTGTGCCATACTAGTCAGTCACCATGCCAGAGGAGCCGTACAGAGGCCAAAGAGCCCGGCAGAAGCCTCCAGGTTGTGCTTTACCATACCTTCTAGCAGTGGCGGCTCGTCGTCGAAGCTGCTAGTATACAACGATTGTGACGGGGATGGAGTGTAGGTCTGCGTGGGCTGGAAGATTTGGCCTGTGTATTGCTGCTGGGGCTGCATCACCCCTGGGGAGGCGTAGCCCACGGGCTGGGAGTAGTCGTACTGACCGTATGGCCTGGGAAACACATGATATTAACTCTCAACAGTGCTCTTTTACTGAAAGGGGGCATTAAATGACTTCTTAAACTGCCCAATTCTACTAAAAATACATGCTGCTTCCCAAGGATGTTGTGTCAGTTAAACAAGTATTAACATTTCTTTTTAAAAGCATTCAAAAACTGCACACTTGCCCTTCAACTTTCCCCATTCTTGTTTAAACAAAACAATCTCCCTTCAATGCAACACAATGCTGAAATGGCACATAAAGGGTAAAACATGTTGCTCTTGGAGGCCGGCTTTCTTCACTTACTTGTTGTAGGGGTTTTCAGCATTGCCGTAGCCATAGCCGGCCTGGCTTTGGTCATCTACACTGTAGCTGGACTGGTAAAAGTCTGTGTTGAAGTTGTCAAACCCTGACATCTCTCAGTCTGTTACAAACACAAGGGCAGAAACAGGAACACAACCTTTTAGCATTAGGGTGATTATTTAGGTCTACAGCGAGGTGTCAGTGTAAACATGATACATTCTGTTACGACTGAACACCTATGCTCTGTGAAAATAACGTTATCGACAGCTGAAATCATGTTATAATATTACATAATATTACATTTAGACTCGTCTTACATCTCGTTAACTTACGGGCTGTGGCCAAGATACTAACGTGGTCTAACGCCATTTCACGCCATTTCACGCCATCTAACGCCTAATACAACGTTTAGAAAAGCAGAAGTATTAAGTATTATTATTATTATGATTAGTATTATATGAAGTAGTACGTATTTAACTTACTGCACTGCGTAGCTCACAGTTAGCCGGGAGCTAAAGCAGCTAGACAGCTAACGTAGCTTCACACACAAAGAGCCAAGATAACATTGTATACATCGTTGCTGTATTATTACTAACGATATAAAAAATCCAATTATTCGACCACCTAAAGGGACACGTTAACTAATCGTGTCAAAATGAGGCAGAAGCTACCAACCTTTAGGTGGCTAACATTAACGCTAATAGTTGGTTAGCTGCTGCTAGCTCTAAATGTCAGCGGTGGCTTTAATATTTATGTAAGCTTTCTGATATAACCCTTATTCTTGAGCTGTGCAAGCATCACAAATGTGACCCCGTACCGTTACCTGCGCTGTTTGATCACTGCACCAACTTGCTTCGGGTTGCTACGTGTCAGGAGAAAGGTAAAATCTTCCGGGATGGTATTACGTAGCCGACGGGAAGTCGTTGGGGACACAATTTGTCCTTTGCGAAAAAAAAATGCGGCGCATTCTACAGGCGACTGGTGGTATTACATTTGGTCGGGAGCCACTGCTTTAACTACAAGCTGGACTAGACTACTGTATGCATGTATACAAATAGTAAATGTGATTTATTTATTTATGTTGGCATTTCCATGGCATTCTTGAATGCCCATCAGACACTTTTAAAAATCCTGTAATATTGAGTTTTTTTATTTTTTTTAATTTTTTATACTGTATTGTTGTAATATGTGTTTTTTTTTTTATATATATTATTGGTAATATTGTGTTTTTGTTACTTATTATATACACTATTGTATTTAATGCGTCGGTGATCAGGGTGGACAGCAAAGTAAAGAATTTCATTGCACAGAGGAAAACATATGACAATAAACATCTTGAACTTGAATCGTTGTACAGTTTTCCGTGAAATAATTGCAGTGCAGAATAAAGTCCTTACAGTCTTGTCTGATTTTAAAACGCTGGTTTTTATATAGGGAATGGGGAGACATTATGCAAGCAGAAATATTCTTATTCTAAAGGTCAAAACACTTGAAGAGCTTAGACCTTCCAATGTTATTGATTACCCGCATGAAAAAAGAACATTAGCATATAATACAATTTACAAGATTATGGATGTTGGGCAAATATAAGAGGAATAGGCCATTAAGTGATTTTATAGTGATGCATACACAATGGAATTAAAGTAACAATAAAGCACTAAAAGGTCACTTGCTACTGTATAAAGATGCATAATAAGTTCTTACTAGGGATATACAGTTCTTACTATGATAAAAAATAAGATAATATGCAAATAAAATAATTGGAAAAACATGTTGAATTCAAAAATAGGGTTATACTCTCAAACTACAGCCTGTTTTGCCCACCGCTGGTAGCTATGAGACCCTACTGGGTTCTGACCCATAGTTTGAGAAAACCAGTGTCTAATGGTAACAAAAAGAGACAGAGGGTAGAAGATGATTTAATGGGATAAGCGCAGGGCTCCCGGCAAGAACAAAGGTAGTCTCTTTCATTAGGAGGCAAAGGATCAGATCAATCACTAGGCCTGCGAAGGAGAACTGCATCGAAACCAAAATACTGCAGGTGGATCCATCTGCTTTGATGATGACAGATAATGAAACAGATGGGAAGAGAACAAATGAGGGACAGTAAGAAAAAAAAGACTGTTGATCCCCTCTGCTATTTAATCTTTATATTTTAAAAGTAGAGAGAGAACAACAAAAATAGCCACCAGGAACAACAAATTAGATATGAATTCAGATGACAGAGATCATAAATAAAGAATGATCAATTTGACTTTTTATAATCCTGAAAAGTTCATATAAATGTCACTCTGTCACATCTGTAAAAACGACCGTCTTTGTTCTACCCAGGGCTTATTAAGAGTAGGTTGTTTCTGCCTCACTGCTAAACAAAAACATCTCTGGCATCCGTAAAAATAAAATGTTAGAATTTTAGCCTTAGATTAACTGGTGTGGTGTGAAAAGGAATTAAATTATATAGACTTGGCTCTGCTCCCAGCCTGGAGTTAGAGAATTCTTTACAGAATGAGAAATGGGAAAAATAATAGCAGTGGGAAAAAGGCATGGAAGAAAACGCTGTCATTATTCATAGGAGACATATTCAGTCTCTGCTGTCTTTGACAGAGAAACTCTGATTGAGTTATGGGTCTCGGGGCAAAAATATAAAGGGGGACCTTTGGGTCAGTGCTGCACAAAGCAGTTGCCTCAGCAATGTTGCACGAGTTAGGAGGGACATTTCTTGCCAGGAAACTTTGTGACCATCTGTCACATTTTGTTCCCCGTTGAAGGCAATGCTTGCAACAAGATTCCAGCATTTATGTTAAACCACTTGTTCCAAGATAGCTCCAAGACAGTACTCTTACATTTTATGCTGAATGACAGACAAATGCAACTCATAACACATGAAACGTTGGGGTGGGTGAGCAAAAAAAAAACACACAAAAAAAGAGACCCCAATAAACAAACAAACAAACAAGCAAAACAATGAACACATTTCAACTGTGCAGACCCCACATGGATCAATGATCTGCCTCATGATAAACAAAATCAATTTGATGTACCCAACATAAATTCCTACAGCACACACCCATGACTAATTATAAGCAGAAATTAGTCGCCTCCCCTCCATTGCCTCTCATCTTCCTTTAGGCTTTTAATCATTTCTAAACTTGAAGAACATGTCTTTCTTCTTAATCCACTTAATGAAAGAAAATTGAAAAGTGCCAGAGAGGGTAATTGAATTTAGGGCAGTGTATTGCCATATACTTTCATAATTGCCTTATTTTATATAAGTCTCTTCTGTAATCCTGCTGTCACTGCCTGGGTGGATGAGTGGATTAAAACTACTGAATTTCCTATTCTACAGCAACCCCTCGTCTCCAACCACCTACTGTAGCCTCAATTAAGAATTTTCTCTACCTCTCCAGTCTCAAGGAGAGAGCAAAAAACAAGGGATCAGGCTATCTTATTATATGTTCTTCTTGCAGATGGTAGATAATTTTGTTCCCTCTGCAGATATCAAACATGTGAATGAGCGTAAAACACACCCACACCCACCCACACACACACACACACACACACAGCTCTATTTTTAGCAGAATTGGATGCGCACATTTCCTCAGCACATTTACAAGATTAAATGAATTCCTTTAATTCATCTAATTCAATTTCCTGCCACCCCATTGATATGACTGCTGCACAGATCGTAAATTAGCAGGCATCTGGTACTTGCAGGGTCCTTCCTCTGAAGCCGCTTTCTTCCCTCTGTGAGTGAGCTACATGAGGACTAAAATAACAATCAGCAGATGAAGAGTTTGTGAAGTTTGTTTGTTCCAAAATGATATTTCCACCCACTTGATATTTAGCAGCTTCTGACAAAATGATAGTCAACAAGAAAATACATCTTAATCTGAAGTATTGTGATGTTTGTAATGCAAAAGCACTTAAATGGGACAAAAAAAAACTTTTAGGGTGCAATTGCTCTCATGTAAAACTATTTTGGACTGAAATCAGCAGCAATTATGAATATGGTTTTGGAATGAAATTATTTTGAGCAATTTGTACTGGAATATAAGTATTTGTATATAGTAAATAGAGACAAAAACTGTGAACAAATACACAATGAAGTGCATAATATAAATTATAAAATTTGCTTTACTGAGGTCTCAGTGCTTCATTTGTTAGTCTATATTTTATCCAAAATGAACATATGCACCATTAAATAAGTGTCATTTCATCAACCTTTGATTCGGAAATGGTGTGGTAAGGAGTACCCTTATACAGGACTACTGCTTTATGACAGAGAGCACTGTGGAGTTTTGCCATCCTTGTCTCTTCTACTTCTGGTTGGCATCAGGGACAGCACCAGTCAACCCACGAGTGTTCTACCTGTCAAAACAGATTTAGAGGCTACTAAAATAAGTCTCATATTATAAACAGTAGCATGGCCTTGGCTCTCCCTCTTCTTCCATCCTACCCTAACAGCCACTCTGCCAAGTTTCACTTCCCAGCTCCCTTAACTTCTGTTACAGGCTTTGGCCATACTGATTCTATTCACTGCAAGATATTTCATACTGAACACAAATTAGTTTTGGACCAGTGGGTTAACACTGCAGTATTATTGCAGATCAAATGGAAAAAAAGTCAATATTTTTTTTTCCACATGACAGCATCTTGGGAGTTGCTGTTTATAGCTTTTCTAGAGTGCAGAATCAACATCTTACAATTAAAGTCCCATATCATTCAAGTTCTTAACTTGTTGATGCAAGGATCAATTGAGATTGATCTCGCTATCAAGGTTGATGCCGAAATCAATTTGTTTGGATTGAGAACTGCTAATAAGCAATATTTTCACAAGGTTTCAGTCTTCCCCATATTTTGTCTTTGACTTCAATACATGTACATCTACAGTGCTGCTATTGCTGTTAATGAATTAATATTCAGTCAAAGAGAGCAGGCTGATAAAAAGGCCAATATCATCAGCCCAATTATGAAGCTCACAATCTGAAGTATTTCTCTCTTCTTTAAGTGTATTATTCCACCAAACTGAAACTAATGATTCGACAGAAAGAAGAGTGGATCCAGGACTAAGAGGCAGAGATTTCTTTTGGGACTTGAGTGGAATTGCCAACTTACATTATCTGATCGTCAGACTGGCCACTCAGTGCCAGAAAATCCTCCCTCAGATACTCTCACATGGTTTTATATCATCAGTTTATGTTTAACGCATTTCAGAAGTTTCAGAAGTTATAATAAAGTGCTTCAACTTCTTTTGTGTATTTTGTAGGACTACTCACTTTCCCTTCAAACTACCTCCTCTGTTTCAGCATCCTATATTTCCCAAAATGCCTTTTGACAATCCTTTGAGAACAGGTATGATTTTGCCTTCAGCTGTGTTTACATCTCTTAACCGAACGTTAGCTGAGAAGAGATGACAGCCATGTGTCTCTTTCACTAGATACACAGTGTTCTGATGCTTCATTGCATTGTTGCATTGTTAAAATGACTGCCAATGGAGGAATAAATACAAGTTGTTTAATGATGGATTTCTCCCTGAATGACTGCTTTTGACTGACAAAAAACCTGAAGTTTTAGATAACTGCAATACTTTCTGCCTATAACACCAAAACTGGTAATGAGATGGTATTTCGTCATTAATGAAAATGAGATAAAACAAGAAAAAAACTCAAAATGGGAATGCACTGAAAACACAACCAAGACTTGTATTCCTGTCAACTGTCATTCTTCTTCTGGGGAGATGCCCCACTGGACGTCCTGCTTTCCTGATGGAATTACTGATGGCAGGAGTGAACAGAGACCCACCACATGTTCAATTATACATCTTCGACTCACTGTCACCCTCACTTTTTCACATAGACAGAAATTATTAATTTCCACTGTGTGTGCAGATAGCTCCATACAGTTCTTGACTGCTTACTTCATTCATCTTACTTT